CCATAGCCAAAAGTGAGACGGATAGCGGTTGTGGCACGCACTCCTCTCTGAGGGGTCTTGCTGGCAGCACGAGCCATGCTGCGGAGGCCTTTGAGCATGGAGGAAGAGACACCGTGAATCTCGGGCGCCCACATGGCCTTCGCATAAGCATTAGGAAAGAACAATTTACTGGCTTGCCTGCACGTGCGCCTAAACATGAAAATCTTACTAGTGGCATCCCGCCCCTTGGTGAAACGGGTCTTCCTGACGGCCACAGTCCTCCTGGCGCCCAAAGCGGTGTCGTGCCCCGAATCCCTGGCGGCCAGAGCCACCGAGAACTCGCGGCCTTCACTGACAGCAATCCTGGAAAGCTCAACCCGAAGGCCTGGCGAGGACGCGAGCAAATGGGACTTTCCCAGGGACAACTCACAGCGACGCCTCCTGAGGCCAGTGAGGAGGGCTCGTAGCAGGATGGGAAACGTAGCAACGATGGACGAATGCGTGCCAAAACGACGAGCTGAGATATCATCGACCCACTCCCGCAGCCGAAGGCCACCGACCGATCCACTGGCTCCTGCGAGGGGTTGGTGCAAATGTGCTCGCGCTAGGGAGGTGGCCTGGCCACATCCAGCCAACATGCCCCCATGAGCCAGGATCCCAGGATGGACAGCCCCCTCCAACGACAAATGCCGAACACCCAGGTAGATATCGATGGCCAGGGCCAACAGACGGAGTGGGTAATCTAATGCCCGAGCCGCTTCCACCAAGTCCTTAAGGCAGAAAAGGCCCCCCGACCTGGAAACCGCTGTGGAGGGCAAGTTCCGTTTCAAGCTCGTCGAGCCAACCAGCCACGTCGGCCGAGCCCCCAATGGTCTGGTCCCAAGGCCCGTGCGCCCCACGGTCCCAAGCCGTGATGAAAAGGCTTCCTGATGCACAAGAGAAGCGTATAAACAAAGCCGAGCAGCGCAATGAGCCTTTTTCCCTCGTCAGGCTTCGGAATGAGGGCGATCAAGGCAAAAAGCTGCTGAAAAGGCAAAGTGCACTGCTCCTCAATGGACTCTAGAAGCTGACTGAGGTGGAGCTTGGCCTCAACACTAGCCTCCTTGATTAAGCGCGGCTCGATAAAATCCAAGCCCTGACCCCTGGAGTCAGGCAACGACTTGAGCGCGCGATTAAGGGTGTCCAGGTCGATGGGTGGCAAACGCGGGGACGACCGAGCACACTTACGCAGGGCAGCTAACGCAGCCCGCGCCTCGTCCTTGTCGTGCTGTTGCCAGATGGCCGTCCAAGCGGCCGCTTCAAATTCCAGGAGCTGGTCTAAGGCGGAGCAGGGTCCATCCTCACCGATCTTTTCGGCCTCCAGAGGGTTCAGGGGTGGCTTCAACAGCCGATGGGCCGGCCCCGCAGACCTGCAAAGCGCCCCCTGGAGCCAGGCCTTCCACGAAGCCTTCTGAGCCTGAAGAGCGTCACGGTGGGATTTTTCAGACACCTCCTGGAGCTCAGCTAGCAAGTCTCGCAGCCCGTCGAACGGCAGCTCAGAAATACGCTGAAAACGAATCTTCCACAAGTGAAAGGTTCCACACTGACCCGCATCGAAAGGGTCAGACAGGGGGGGGGGGGCACCTGCCGAGAAAGCCAAGCCATAGTGGCACGAAATTGAGCTGCATGCTTACGGCCAGGCTGCGGCGGGATATCCTCAATGGAATCCTGCGGGACAAGCTTAAGCAACAGCCTGAGCTTGACAAAGGCAGCTTGCCAGAAACGGGCGTCACGGTCTGCCTGGCAAGGCCCCTCAACCTGGGCGGCCGTGAGGGGCACCAAACGCAGCCTGGGCTCCTGGCAACGACCTATAAACTGGAAAACCTGATGCTGGGCCAAACCAAGCTTCGAGAAGGCCTCAAGCTCCAGAGCAACAATCCAGGTAGACAACTGGGCACCTAAATCGAGAGAGACCTGGATGTTGTCATGCTCGAGCTTGTGGAGACTGGCAGCGGCATAGTTGTTGGCCTTGAAGAAGCCTGGCCGCTTACGTTGCAGCAGCTGCGCCTGCACCAGGAAGTGCGGCCAGGCTTCAACAGGGGCAGCAACGCCTTTGACAGGAATGGGCTTTAGGTCGCATGGCCTTCCAAACCATGATGGCCCTGGGGGAAGCCAAGTCCTGAAACTCCAAAGCGGCGTGCGTGCCCCAAGGCACTGGAACAAGCGACCTAAACTGGACGGCACTAGAGAAGCTAGCAGAGACCAAAGCGTAATCGATCCGACTGGTGGAGGCCCCAGAGCACGCAACCGAAACACCAGGCATAGGAACAGGGACGAGGCCGAGAGGCTCCAGCCAACCTGGCTCCTCAAGAACACTCTGGTCCACCTGCCAGTCGCCCGCCACAGAGGCGGGAACACCTGCCGCGCTCAGATGGGCGCCGAGGTCCGCCAGCAGCTCGAGGCTCTGACCGCTGAGCTCACCCCCCGTGACCAGGTAGACAGGGGCGATGGTCAGGGAAACCTTGCGAAGCCTCAGAGCACA